GGGGGGGGGGGGGATGGGTACAAGTTCTGGGGGAAAGGGCGTGAGGGGTTAACTCCAGTGTTCAGTCCAACCTCAGTTCTAAGTCAAAATGGGGGAGTTTAGTATTTGCTGGTGCATTCAGTGGGGGGAGTCCTGTCTTCACGTCACAGCCTATGTGATCTTGCTGTGAGGGGACAGCCTGCAGCCTTTTCCTTAACAGTAGCAGGGGTCCATTATTTCCAAATTCAGATGAGGTGGGTGTGGGATCGGTTCTGATCCTGGGCGGTGAGGGTTATGGAAACCTTCAGTCTCCTTCAGTGTGGGGAGGCTGGGGACAGCTCGTGGGATCCTGCTGTGCAGAACATCCTTCATTTCAATGTCAGCCCCTCTTTTGTGGGGGCAGGGTGTGGTTGGCTCCGACAAGGTTTTGAGGGAATCCCTTGGAGGTACTAGATACGGCTGCCTGTGTAATCTTGCTGTGCATCCCCTCGGTCTGCGGGTCACCCTCAAATGCGCTGTGTGCCTGTCTACAGGGCCCTGGGCTGAGATTGCTGATGGTTTGATAGTGGGTGGAGTGCATTGTCCGTTCTTTTCCCTTAGCACAGATCCCTCCCACCTCTCGTCACCCCCTCACCCTCCAAAATGTGATATTGATGTTGCAAATGTCTACGAGACACGGTGGGGAGATTGCAACATGTTGAAAACGTAAGGCATTGGAGGACGTTGCAATCAAAACAAAGAGGAAATGGGGATAGAGAGAGAGAGAGAGAGAAATAGATGTCGATTGATTGCTGAGAGCAGGAAAAGCTGAGCAGAGGTGGAGAGGTTGATAGGGACGAAGAGAGGAAGATAGAGGGAGAGAGGAGTAAAAGAGAGAAAGAGAGAGATCGGGGCAGAGACAGACAGCGAGAAAGAGATTGAGAGAGAGATTGATTCTCGAGAGCAGCAGAAAGCTGAACAGAGATGGAGAGGTGGATAAGGACAGAGAGAGAGAGAGAAAGTTTGATCAATTTCTGTGAGCAGGAGAAAGCTGAGCAGAGATAGAGATGTAGATTGGGACAGAGAGAGGGAGAGGAGAGAAGAGAGAGAGAAAGGTAAGTGTATCAGTTCATCATTAATATTTCATGTAGAAACAACACCAATCCCGGAAGTAGTGGGCATGGGGTCTGTGCCTGATGAATGGGAGTGGGATGGTCATTGGTCTTTTTTTGGGTTTTTTTTACCATCAGGGTGTCAGAAAACCAGCTGGAGGGACGAAGGGAGAGACACAGGCTCTGGGGAGTGACTCCCCACCATTGAGTCATTGCCCGGCCTCTCAGAAAGTAAACACTGGAGGCAGTCAGAAAGCATTTGCCCCTTGATCCCAGATCAAATCTGTTCTTCTTCTCTGGGTTTAAAATCAGGGGAAAATGCTGAAAAATTGGGAAAATTTTGAAAATCAGTCTGTGGTGGAATCTCATATGTTCCTCTTCATTTTTGTTTCAAAATTTTGGATTTGATGTGATCAATTTCCTTCTCTCCCCCTGAGGAGATTACTGAGAGACTGAAGCTTGGACACGTAAAGAGGTAGGCACAATCTCTGGAAGTGGAGATGGTCGGTGGGTGGGGGGTGGAATAGCGGGCACGGTGGAGGTGAATCCCAGCCTCTGGAGTAAATATCTCTCTCCCTACTCCCTTCAAACAGAAACACTGAGGCGGTTTGAGCCTCTTCCTGTTCCACGTTTAATATGATGGGCTGTTCTGGAGGGGGAAGGGGACGTGGGGGTAAGTGTCAGATAATGGAAGTTCAGGCAGCGAGCAGTGGGATCTTGCTGTCCTCGGGGAAGTGTCAGATTGTGGATGGCAGAGAGTGGTGTGATCTTGCTGTGCTTTTGGTGCTGGATATTGTTTTTTATTTCTCTCTGTCTTTCCAACCTCACCCCTGAGGAGATTAGATTCGGGAGCTGAAATTTGGGATGATGCACAGACTGAGAGAATCAAATGGTTCTGCCGTGAGGAATCTTCAGACAAGAGCTGGAACCAGAGAGAAAGAGAGAGATGAAAGCATTATAATAAACCAGCCCGTCTCCTTGTCGGTCATTTACACACTTGCACACGCACGGGGAAAAGAATTGTGGGGTTCAGGCTGTCTCTGGGGTTTGTACTCAAGGGTATGAGCTCTGGGCTGGGGGTGTGGGGGAGACAAAGGGGCAAAAGGGGGCTGCTGCTGAGTCTAATGCCACAGATTTCACTGCCTCCCTCTCTCTTTGCCTCCATATCCCCTCCTACCTGCCCTTCCCACAGTTTTCTATAAATCTATAAATCCCCACATCCTTCGCATCTACCGCTGTTCACTCTCCCCCACCCCTCATATTCCTCCCTCCTACTGTCTCGCCCCCTCCCCAGGTTTTTCAAGAACTGTTTCGTTGTTCAGTCTTTCTGATTTCCAGGTTTTCCCACTCACCTCTCCACAACACTTCTGTCCATCTATCTCTCTATCTCTCACATTGTCCTGTGTGATCTTGCTGTTCCTGCCTGCATCAACCTGTCTCCATCACTCGTTCTGGATGGTATCTCTCTGTCTTCTTTTTTCCCTCGTTTTTTTTTTTTTCTCTGTCCCTTCTGTCTTTCCCACTTTCTGTATCTGTCCTTTCTCATCCTTTTCATAGAATTTCTATCTTTCTCCTATCTCCCTCTCCCCTCCTCTTTCTCCGCCCCCTCTCTCTCTGTCTCCCTCTTGTTCTCAATGGGATTTCTGCCTCTCTTCCTGACTGTTTCTCTTTCTGTATCTTCCTATGTCCGTTCTCCCCTGCTCCATCCATCTATCCCTCCATTTTCCTCTTGGATTTTGTCTCTCCATCTCCCTCTCTGTCCTTCAATGTCTCTTTATGGGAAATGCCAGAGGATCTTCCTGGTCCTTGACCCACCTGCATTTTGCACTATCGTGCTTTGTCTAAACTGAAAGGTGGAAGGGGTTGTTAGATAAAACATTTTTCTCGGTGAGGGGGAAGGGGGCCTGCCTGGGGACTGGGATCTTGCTGTGCAGTGAGGCAGTCAGTGAACAGGCCTGAGTGTCTCTGGCCATACTCCCTGGGGCCTCCAGCCCCTGGGGTGGGGTCAGGGATCCAGTGAGGGTGAGGTGGGTGTTTGGGTGTTGCTCATGGAGGGAGATACAGTGGGGTATCGATATATAGTGGAGGGATCACACAGGAACGAAGAAAGAGGGTGACGCTGCCCGGGGAGCTATCAGAAACTGTGAGGCTGAAAATTTTTGTTGGGATAAAATATGGGGTAAAAGTCGGGGGGAAATATTTAAATGGGTGCAAAAATTTGTGGGGGACAATATTTGAGATGACGTAAAGTGGGGAGGTTGCAAAATTGGGATGGAGAGCAAACTTTTGGAGAACGGAAATTGGGAAATGCAATAGTTGAGGGGACAATATTTGGTGGGTGGGGCATCAAAATATTTTTGTGGGGGGAGTGCAATATCGAGCAGGGGCAACAATGTTTTTGGCAGCACAAGATTTCGGGATTTCAGGGTACAATGCTGTAAGGGTGTGACAAAATTGGGGACACGCCTCTTGGTGGGGGTGTTAAAGAGAGGAACAAAACTGGGCAGCAGCGAAACTTGTTGGTGGAAATATTGGAGGCGGAAAATGAAGGGAGAAGAGAGTGTGAAATGAGGGGGGTTTACAGAGTCTCAAATTGAATGACAAAATTCTAGGGTCAAATTTGCGGGGACATTCGTATTTGGGGTGGGGGGGAATTTGGCAATTTTGTATGGAAAGAACATTTTGGGAGCGAGGCAGGAAAGAAAGAGGCAATGAGATGAGACACTGGGAGATGAAATAGAGAAAGAGATGGAGGGAAAGGAGATAGAGAGAGAAAGGTGGAGGGAAAGGAGAGGGAGAACAAGATGGAAGGAAGGGAGAGAGAAAGATGAAGGGAAAGGAAAGAGAAATATGGAGGGAAAAGACAGAGAGAGAATGATGGGGGAAGGAACAAAAAGACAGGGGAAGGGGGCAAAGAGTGGTTGCTAGTGATAGAGAGAATGAAACAAAATGATACAGAAGTTGACTGCGTGAGAGACAGAGACACAGGTGAGAGAAAGATACAAAGAGTGAGAAAGACCAAAAGGGCGACAAGAGGAGACACTTTGAGAGAAAGAGACAGAGACACAAAGGGAGAAGACAGAGAGAGAATGAAACAAAGAGAGACAAGAGTTGAGTGTGAGAGACAGTGACACAAGAGGGAGAGAGAAACGAGAGACAAAAGGAGAGACTTAGAGAGAAAGACAGAGAAACAAAGCAAGAAAACAGAGAGACAAGAAGAGGAGAAGTCAGTGAGAGACAGCCAGGAGTTCAGGAAAGATACTGAGTCTGCTCACCAGGGCTGCTTCAGGAAGAGGGTGGTACAGGTCTAAAACTAGCATTGAGATTCCAGCTGTACCCACACTGTCTCTCACACAGACACAGACAGCCAGAATAAGTCTGACACCCACCTCCTGGCTTCATCCACATGAAGAAACGAAGTATGGCTGCCAAGACCAGTTTTATAAACCGCAAGTTCTGTCATTCAAACCACTCTCTCCTCCCAAATCCCAGCTATCCAGTCAGTTCCCAGCTGTCTCTACCTGGAACACACATCCTCCAGATATGGAGCAAACCAAGAAGCTTCTTCGTGAGGTTAGAGGCCGGAGGTGGGGTGGGGGGCGGGGGCTGTGGGAGGAAGGGTTAGAGAAAGCAGCAACCCAAAAGTTGAGTCCAATGTCTCCTGATTGTTCCTTCCTTGCTCCCCCCCACACACACACACACACACAAACTTTCTCTCACACATACAA